TTAATGAGAGTTATGAAATTTGGTACACATATGTAACCCATTAGGACCTAAAAAAGTTATATTGGAGCCATGGTCCAAACCCCACAGGAAGTCGGCCATTTGATGAAAGAAATCCCTTTGCTTTTTTACCTTCATGACCTATTTGAGCCAACTCCTCCTAGAGATTTTGAGTTACAGACTTCAAACTTACTCCACCTTGAGCTGAGGTACAGGGGATCAAAAGGTATCAAAGTAATTTTTCTACATCAAAGCATTTGAGCGTGGCCAAAAGTTAAATGTGGTCCCTTTGCTGTTAAACACAATGCAAGCCCCAGGCCATTTTTTTAGTCAGAGTTATGAAATTTGGTACACATGTGTAACCCATCAGGACCTACAAAAAGTTGTATTGGAGCCATGGTCCAAACCCTACAGGAAGTCCGCCATTTTGAATCAAAGCCATCATTAGCTTTTTCGCCTTTATATTGTATGTTAGCTAACTCCTCCGTGAGCAGTTGAGCTACAAACTTCTAACTTGCTGAGCCTAGACTTAAGACATAAGGGGTCAAAAGTTATAAAAAGATTTTTTTTTTTATGGCGAGAAGTCTGATTTTGATGCTTGGCCTAGACTTAAGACATAAGGGATCAAAAGTTATCAAAAGATATTTTGCTGTGACAAAGCATGTGGGCGTGGCCAAGCATCAAAAATCAGACTTCTCGCCATAACAGTATGACAAAACTGCCGCAGGCCCTGCTTTTATTAAGGATATTATTTTTGGTACACATGTATAACCCAACAGGACGCACAAAAAAGTCATTGGAGCCATGGTCCAAACCCAACAGGAATTCGGCCATTTTGGATGAAAGATACCATTTTCTTTTTTTAAGTCATGACGTATCTCAGTGAAGGGCTGTTGGTTTTTTGAGTTAGAGACTTCAAATTCACCTTGCATGGACTATAGACATAGCACACAGGTGTCAAACTGGTTCCAGAAAGGGCCCTGTGGCTGCAGGTTTTCTTTCCAACCAAGCAATAGCTCACCAGACTCCAGTCATCTCATCAAGTCATCGTGTTTAGATTGGATTCCCTTGATGAGATGATTGGAGTCTAGTGTGCTATTGCTTGGATAAAAAGACAACCTGAGGCCACACGGCCCTTTCTGGAACCATGGCAGATTAACAGTTATCAAAATTATTATTCTACATGGAAGCATGTGGGCTTGGCTAAGCATCAAACCCTAAACCCCAGTCACACAAAACCATGCTTTTATTACCTCAATATGGAAGTTCACAATAGTACCAGGCGGAGGAGGAGAAGGAGGAGAAGGATGATGAGGATGAAGATGAGCAGCAG